CCCCCCCTTCTCATATCGAACAAACCTGACAACGCACTCTTATATAAAGAAGAAAAAAAGGGAGGGGGTTCAGCTGCCCTCCCCCCTTCCCCCAAAATTGTACAAACATGAACAATTTCCTTATTTAAAAAAGGAGGCGGAGGAATGAATGGAGCTAGATAATCTAGATCTAGATCCACTTAGCAAGGACTTATCGTTTAAGATCATACCATTGAATGGTCTCTTGCTACATCAAGACGGAAGTCCTTCCCATCAAGACCGTGCCGTAGGCTTAAAGGCAAAAGAATATTTGAGGAGGAAGAGGAAGAGTTAGGCTCTGAGGTTACGGATCAGGTTCGATTTGTGGATAGGGGAAGGGATATCGGGGGTTTCGTTTTCAACTGCTCGCTGGTTCATTCCAAATTGATCACATCCTATCGACGCTTTAAAAAAAACCACGCGGATTCCTTACCGGTGATTAACTGTTCCGGGTGAAACAGTTGTCTGTAAGTGCCAGTCCTAACTTCATCTACCACAGTGGGTTCTAAGTCAACGTATGCTGCTCTCGGGACGTGCTTTCCAGAACCTGTCTCGCTGAAGAAGGTATTGAAAGAGTCATCGCCTCCTCCAATTGTTTTGTCTGAAGGCATTTGGCCATCTGGTTGAATACCATGTTCCAAACAATAGAGCTCCCAACATGCATTACCGATTTGTACTCCAGCCTGCCCCAAATGAATGGAAATAACTTCACGCATATTGCTAGATCTAGTTGCCGACCCTCACATGTACAGTCCAAACTCCTGGATATTTCAAGGTTGACAGGTATGCCTGTTGATTTAAACTTAGGCTAGCTGTCGACAACCTCAGCTTCAAGTACACAACGAAATGATTTTGGTTGCTATGCAAGTAGACAGTGACATCATCATTATGTGTGAATAGCAACAAGAAAGGTGCGTCATGAATTAAAAGAAACACTGAGAGAAAAGCGGGAATACCAAAACGTGCCAGTAGCCTAGGCTATTTAGGCCTATATGGTAAGACAAAAAAGGGTTAGGCCTATGCTTGGCCTATGTTCTAGGTTTCTTTCATGGCTAGGCTAATTCTTCCTATGTTGGAAGCGCAGAAGTGGATCGAAACTCTGTATTCCGCTGTTTTCCTTTCGTCGTTGACGCTTCTCGGCCTGGTTGTTTCTGGGGCTGCTTTCTAGCACAATACATCATGTACATAGTTCTTTCCTTCATCATGTTTTCCTGTCCTCTGCTATTTCTTCCCAGATGCCGACATCTATATCTAGATCTACTTCAAACTGAAAAGCTGTTTTTTTTAAAGTGTCTTTTGTATCTCAATTTTGGCCTTCCTCTCGATCTTTTTCCCCTGGAAAAGTTCTCCTTGTTTGCTTTAGTATGGTTTTACGGCGCTCTCAACAGCATATGGTCATATGAGCACCAAGGCCAATTGCAACCACTGTTTATTCATTTTAAGGAAACTAAGAAGTTTTCGTGTCGATAATAAGATTATGCCCCTTTATACCATCCTATGATTGAAAGCGTGCTCCTATTTTGTAGTTGCTTCTGGGCTGGGAATTGCAGGATGAAATATGAAGAAAAATTTGTCAGAACCAATACGAAACCCTGCAAGATCTCAGGATATTATTTTATTAGAATTGATAAAATATATACGACCGCAAGTATAAAAAAGATAAAAAGCATTAAAAACGACCCATCACACCCCCTTTCCACGCAAATTGTGAGATCACGCAGCGGCAGATATGTGCCTCTAAAAACAAAGACAGAAAGATATGAAAGAAGTGTTTCCTAGCGTCAGGCTATTGTCAGAATAAGCATCAATGTGAATAGCTCTTTCGAGTATGTATCTCTAAAGGTCGTGTAATTAAATTCCCGCATGTGGTCGAATGATGCATCTGATGTGATATGTACATTTTGTGAGCTTTGCTTCTTGAATTTTAATGAGAGTAATTTATAATTTAAATCTTTATGTATACCTGTATGTGTTTTTATGGTCCTGTACAGCCAAGAAAAATTTGCCTTTGGGATAATAAAGTATTATCCATCTTATCTTATCTTACCTTGTGTCAACGGAGAAGTTCAAATGGGGAAATCAGCCTTACTCTGCTCACCTCTCTAGGACAAAGTCTGCTTCGACTATCAAGTCACTCCAGAAATAGCAGTTCACAAGAGAGTTAGTGACAAACATACAAAAGAAGTAGATGACAAATGACGATATTAAGGATGAGGAAAGAAAAAGCAGCAGTTCCCGGCCTATGCTGTTCCGGCACAGTATGAGCATGACATTGATAAGTCGACCCATTTACAATTCTACTACATGTATGCATAAGAACATGTTAATATCCCTCTTTTGGAAATGGCTTAATGACACTTCAGTAGTAAGTTTCCACGGAGAATTGAGAAATTACTTCGGAATCCGGTTGTCGTCCATTCTGTTGACATGGTCCAGACATCTCAATCTTCTTAAGCACAAATATTTGTACCGTTCCTATTAAAGTAGGCTCTACAAGTTTGTATTTAAAAAAAAGGGGCGGGGGGGGGGGGGGGCTACACCTGGAGGCTATCTCGCTTATTACTGGACCGAATTTTACCAAATTTCACAATTTAACAAGCATAGTAAGGAGTCTTAAAATCCGCAATCAAATTTGAGAAAAAAGTTTCGTTTCTATGGATACGCCGCCATATTGGATTTTATTGACATGTCTTACGTAATGAATACCGCACTTATCGCTCGTGGAAATTGATTGTTTTTTTGCATGCGTGTTTACAAACATTAGATTAAAAAATTTGTCTGTTGTTTTTTTCCTAATCGAATTAGAAAATTTTTAATGAATTTTTTCCTGAGGTAACATTCAAGTTTGCCAAAAATCCGTGAAAATCCACACTCCAGACACACCAACAAAAATCTGTTCCATATATAAAAAATTCAACAGACAAATTTTTTGTATTACCTCTTGTCTTCATTCCGTGAAAATTTCATGAAGATTGGATGAAAAATGGTGGAGTTATTTTAAAAAGTATAGAGAAAAGTTGCATTTTGAGAAAACGGCCGATGAAGAAAAATAAAATACTGACTTAATGAGGAAATGGCGGTTACAAACATGCCAGGTATGGGAAAAAATAATACGGTTGTGGGGGGGTTCTTATGCCATGAAATAGCTGTAGGAGAGTCTGAGGAAGCTAAAAATGCCTACAACCTCAAACTCCATGATTTTGAGCCGAATTTTGATTTTGGGGGTGTACCCCCCCCCCCCCCCCCTTTAAGCGCATACTTTAACAAAAAAATGTGCTGCATATTTTGCTTGTGAGGAATATTCTCCTTAGCTTTGCAGAGTAAACGCTAGATCGTTGGCCTACTCTCGAAAAGAAATACACAATTATCATATCACTACATTATAATTATTACTAACTGAGCCTATTTGTTGGCGGTGGAAAAAAAATATACGTGTACCTCTTCGTTTTCAACTAGCTATCATGTAGCCAACAAGAATGTTATTTGTTCTCGAAAGGCTTTCTATAGATTATGATTTGACACACACAAACGCGCACCCC